GTTAAATCGGTTGCTAATTGCGACTAAATTAAATCAGTCGCTAAATCCGTCGCTAATTGTGACCAAAAAAATTTGGTCGCTAATTTCGGTCGCTAAAAATGTTTTTTCTTGTAGTGAACTAAGTTGTTTTTGAAATTTAAATTTGAAATAAAAGACATGGGTGAAACCAATGTGATTTTGGGAGTTAGAATAATAAGAAGGGTGACAATATTTTACTATCCCAAGGACAATATATTAAGAAACTTCTTAGGAAGTTTAGGTATTATAACTTTAAACCAGTGAATTACCACTTATGATGTTAACTCTAAATTAAAAAAAAAACAAAGGATAATCTATTTCTCAACCTCTGTACCAGGATAATTAGGAGTTTATTATATTTAATAAGTTTTTTAAAACCTGACATTGCTTATATGTAGTAGGTAGACTAAGTAGGTATACTCAATGTCCTAATTATGAACAATGGGATACACTTGCAAGACCTATGAGATATTTAAGTTGTTCGATGAATTATGTCATTGAATATAGTGGATTTCTTATTGTACTAAAATGATATAGTGATATTAACTGAATCTCTGATTCAGATGAGACAAAATTCACTAGTGATTATGTATTTACACTTGGGAGTGGTGCAATTACATGGAGATAAACCAGGAAAACGATTATTGCAAGATCAATAATACAATCAAAGTTTGTTACTCTTAAAATGACTAGTAGTAGAGCTGAGTGGTTGAAAAACTTTTTAGCAAATAATACATTATGAATGAAACCAATCCCATCTTTCTCAATATATTGTGATTGTCAATCGACAATAACTATAACTAAAAACAAAAACTACAATGGAAATAAGAGACATATAAAATTGAAACACAATCTGATGGAGCAACTACTAAAGAGTAGAACAATTTTCATTGATTATGTGAAGTCATAACGGAGTCTAGCATATCCTCTGACAAAACCCTTAGGGAAAAACATAATTTTAGAAACATTGAAGGAAATAAGACTCAAACCCCTTGCAAATAAATAAATGATGGTAATCCAACCTTTGTGATTGGAAATCCCATGAATAAGATTCATATGGGTAAAAATAAGTCACTTGTTAGTTCTAGCACTAAAAATGACTGAAATCAATTATGTCCATTCCTATGATGTGTGAAAATGTTAGATATTGTATTATTGAGAGATCAACCTTTATAATTAAAATTCTATGTGGTATACGAATTTTAATTTAAACAAAATTTTTAATGATTTTCATATCCCTTATAGGTGGTGTATAATTTGCAGCATAAGCTTAATGAAATCACCTATATAAGTGTCAAATGAGGCCGCTTATATGAGATCCCTGCAAGATTTCTATAGTACTCATGAAACCGAGCAAGTGCATGGCCTAGTAAGTGCAACACAACGATAATAACACGAATTATGGGGGTGTATTGTGATTGTTAAACTGCTAACACACATTAAATATTTTGGTTCATATAGTTTGTTATATCAGCATTACATCTTATATGAAACTTATATTTTTCATTATCTCTCTTTTGTTTTTGCAATATGTGGGGGATTGTTAGGAAAATAGAGAATTGCAAAAATCTCCCACAAAACCCACGAATGCTGCAAACGAGAGTTGTGTGAGTCATCCTCCTCAAGTGTTGGCTCCAACTGTTGTAGATATGGAACCTCACATAGTCATTATCCCTTGATCCACATATACTACCTTATCTCTTCTCATTGATATCTTGTTACTTCTGCAGTTGTTGGTAGAGACATGACGTGGAATGTTGGATTTTTCTAAGTCCATTTACACCTTCCCCTCCTAAAATCATCAAACACAATCACTCATCTTCTTTTCTTTCTCTTTTTATTCTTTTCTTATTCTGTGTTTATATACACTTTTAAGAGTTCCTCAAAAAATTCGGGAAGTTCTTGGAAAGATTAAAAAAATTCCTGTTATATCTTGAGGGACTTCCACAATACACCATAAATAAATTATTAAAGATAATAATTATACATGTCTCAAATATTAAATTTTATTTGTGTTTATCAGCATTTACAACACATATCAAAATTTTTGTTTGTGTTTATGAGCATTTACAACACGTATCAAATCAACTATGGTTGTAAAAGGAAAAAATAAATAAAAAAAGTTTGCTTCGGTAGAAATTTATAAAAAAAAAAAAACAAAGAATAATATGATGAGAGGAGAAATATGCTGCATGTAAACAAAAATGTGTAATTCACTTTAATATTTTTTTTATATTTTTTATTAATACTATTAAGATGTTTATTGACAAAAAATTAAGCGAGACGCTTATAAACTAATGTTGCATCATTACATATATATATAATAATGTAAAAAATTGATAAGTAGTGGTATTTTTATAATTCGTATTTTTTGTTATGTGAGTTGAATCTAGACCAGCGTAGTAAGAACATATTAATTAATATTATTAGTGTTTCTATCTTTCACCGCGCTTCTTGTTCGATGGTGTTAGAGTCTTGACTTTTCTTATTATATGTTTACCTAATATTTCGTGTGTGTGACTTTTTAAATTTTAATTTTTTTAACTAAAAAAATGAGTGGAAGGTTGGGTTTTTGTGGTTTTCTTATTTAGAAATTACGTTTTTATATTTACTTTAAAAATTGTGTTTGATCTAACTTATTTATTTTAAAGAAACAGAAAGAAAAGTTGAACAATGTAGGCATGTAGCAAGTTATCTGACAAATTTACAAAACCAAATACGACTCAAAATTATCAAACCATGATAGTCAACGTCTATCTGAGAGAGTAGTTTTGATGCATTTAAAAATAAAATAAAAAGAGAGAGAGAGAGAGAGAGGATAAGATTTAAAATATGGTGTGAAGCTGAAGGAGTTCCAAGTTTCTTTGCTTGTAGCGAAGTCTTTTTACTAACCACCAAAGTCCAATCTACGTTTCTAGAATTTGACCAGTGCGTGGCTTAGCCTTCAAAATCAAATTCATTGCACGACCAATAAAATCAACAGGGAAGAAACTTAAAATAAAAAAATTAGGTTTAATGAAGATATCACACAATGAAATCATGTTGTTCTAGAAAGGAATCAACACATCATATGGTGTGACCAGACACGAACACCTTTCTAAACCCCATTTTCCTGGTTATCACTTGTCATTTTTCTCTTGGTTCCATGTTCTTTGCCATTACACTTAACCCATGTTCATGTTTTCTCATTCACTGTCACATGTTCTACTTTAACTTTAATTTAATGGTTAAAATTGATACGATAATTTGCTTTACTTACAGACATTATTGTCTCTTATATTTTAGAATTTTCAGAATATTAAAAATAAACGCAGAAAGACTAGGTCCTTAACTGATTTTGCAGACGATCAAAATTTCATCTTGTAATTTTGTCTCCAAAAATTATTAGACTATTCATAGACGAATTTAGAGACAAATATAGCGATGGGAATTATCGTCTCTAAACGTCATATCCGAAATAGATATTTTTTTAACTTTTTTTTTTCTATTTCTGTATCTGATGATGTTGGCAGAAGCTGTTCGTCTCCAAATTCTATCCTCATAAAAGATTTGTTTTGAGTAGCGCCAAATTTAATTGCATGAAGTGGATTCACCTCTAAATATCTCAATTGCAACATACTAAAATATAAATAAATCTTATGTTCATATATTAATGCAAAAGTCATTATAAATTTTATTTTATTTATCAATTTAGAAGTTAATGTTTGTGAAATCGAATAAATAAAATAACGTTGTTAATGCCCAGTAAATATTTTCTAATTTTTATTCATTGATATTAATTTTAATACTATTTGCATATGTATTTGTTAGCAATATGTGTTATTAATATTGTGTTAGTAATATGTGTTATTTATTAATGTTAATTTAAAAATTATTATACCGAATAATATATAATACTTTAAATTTATTAAATTGTATTCACAAATAAATGTTAATATTATTATATTTTTAAACTAATAATGAGAGTATATTTAGATACATCATTCAATTAAATAATATATTTATTATTTTATATAAGTTAAGTAATCGCATATAATTTATATATAATGTTATGAAAAGTAATTTTCATTGTTTATAATATTGTTCTTACTTCTCAATTCATTGATTTATTCTTAATATCGTACTTTTAAAAAGTTAAAACTTATTTAGATACTTATAATTTATTTTAAAACATTATTGTTATCCTCAAAGCAAATTTTTTGTTTGTGTTGTATATGAAAAATATGTTATATTCCAACCAGTAAAAAATAATGAATTAAAAAATTAAGTTTAAATGAAAAATATAAATTTATGATAATAAAAATCTATATTTTTTTTCACAAATTTTCTTCCGTTGGAAACTAATTGCGCTTCAACGTATGTCGAGCCATTACTCCAAAAAAACAACAATAAATGATACGATAATTTGTGTAAGTAAGTTTTGAATGAAAATAATATGAAATTTTTGGTGGAGTTCATGTGTATTATTTATTAGCATTAAACCTTGATGATAAAACTAAATATTTAAGACTTTCATTCAATAACTAGACTAAAATAAATTGATATTAATTGAAGTGGATTGAGTTGAATAAACGTGAATTTAAAATATAAAAAATAAATTTTCCTTGAAGAATAGTGATAGAAATACGTAATAGATTATGTAAGAAGGAAAATTGTGTAAGATGGAATTAAACGGTTGACTAAGTAAAACAAAAAAAAAGTGAAATTAAAAGAAAAAAAACAAGACAGTTAAAAAAACATTTGATTTGGTTTGGAAGTTTCTGGGGACATTACACAAGGGAATTGCGCTGGTACACCATTTAGGACCAAAATCTGACGTAACTTGTTCCGAGAAGGGAATTGCGGGTCCACCATTTATGAACCTGAGCTTCCCCTTCGTCGTACACACAACAACATTTATTTAAAAGCCCTTCCTCTTCACCCTCACTTTCTTCAACTCTATACCCTCTCAAAAAGGTTCACCTTCTTCGACAGTGAGCCAAATGAATAACTCAAAGCGCTGTTACGAGAATGGAGGAATTTACTTTCTTCTCCTCCTCTTCATCTTTCCTCTTGCCGCTGCACAATCTGTTAACGGTAACCAAAACGACTCGTATTACAATCGTTTCAGTCCTTCCATGGCCATCATAATCGTCATCCTCATCGCGGCGGTCTTCCTCATGGGATTCTTCTCCATCTATATCCGCCACTGCGCCGACTCCCCCTCCGCCAGCATCCGCAACCTCGCCGGAGGCACCGCCCGCACGCGCCGAGGCCTCGACCAGGCCGTCATCGACACCTTCCCGACGCTCGAGTACTCCGTCGTCAAGATCCACAAGCTCGGAAAGGGGACGCTGGAGTGCGCGGTGTGCTTAAACGAGTTCGAGGACACCGAAACGCTGCGTTTGATCCCCAAGTGCGACCACGTCTTCCACCCCGACTGCATCGACGAGTGGCTCGCCTCCCACACCACCTGCCCCGTCTGCCGCGCCAACCTCGTCCCCGAGCCCGGAGACTCCGTCAGAGGAGTTCCGATTCTCAACGACATCGAGGCCCAAAGCGAAGACCAACCCGAAGCCCACAACGATGCCGTCGAGCCTGCTCCCGAACCACAACAAGAGTCTAAGCTTCCAATTCCCTCCGAACCCCCTCAAGTGCTCACCCTAAACCAGACGCTGAACCGGAACCGCACGAGAGGCTCCCGGTCGGGCCGCCCCCGCCGGTTCCCGCGCTCTCACTCGACCGGTCATTCGCTGGTCCAACCCGGCGAGGACACTGAACGGTTCACCTTGAGGCTTCCCGAGGAAGTTAGAAAACAATTACTTCTGAACCCTGAACTTCATCGAGCGAGAAGCTTGGTTATGTTACCCAGGGAAGGTAGTTCACGGCGTGGATATCGAACCGGCGAGGGTAGTAGCAGAGGGAGGTCTTCGAGGCGGTTGGACCGGGGGTTTAAGTCGGACCGGTGGGTTTTCACGATGGCGCCGCCTTTCTTAGTGAGGGCCTCGTCGGTTAGGTCCCCGAGGGTGGCCAACAACGGCGGCGCAGGAACATCCGTTCCGCCGCCGCCGGCTGCTGTGGAATCTGTTTGACTCCCCCTTTGTTCAATACTTTATTGTATGGATCATTTTTTTATGCCTCGATTTATTTATTGAGTCTGAAATTACGAAGACGCGTGCAACATTTGCCACACTTGTTTTGGCTCTGAAGATAAATAGCTGGATGGAAGTGTGAATGGTGATAGTTTCTTCAGCCATAATCTTGGTGATTGATTGAGATAAAAAAGAAGGAAGATAAAGGGAATGCGCAGGAAGAAGGTAGAGAGCATTGGGGCGACAGAAAACAGAAACTTTGATGGTTGTTTGGAGGCGTAGAAGATCCGCAGGAAAATGGCATGCACGTGTTCAGAGTATCCATGAACTCGTTCCTTTTTTTTCTTTCTTTCTTTGGGTAAGTAATTATTGTGGTGAGGTGGGTAATTAGTTGTTTTGATAGGAAGAAAATACAAACAGGAAAATTGAGAGAGAGAGGACAATGTAGACGACGATGATGATGATGACATCAAAGTTGAAAAAGAGGTTCAAAACGACAGCTACTTTATAAAAAAAAAATTAAAGAGAGAGTATTTTATAAAGAAAATGTTTTTTATTTCTTTATTTTATTTCAAAATATGTCACTTTTGTAAATCTTTATTGCATTAACTAGTTTTTATTTTTCATTTACTTAACTTATTAGTTACCGTGTTTTCACAATTATATTTAAACTTTTTTTAAGGCTAAAATATGTCTTTATTTCCGATAAAACGATTAAGTTCTATTTTTTTTATCCTTATAAAATTTCAAATCTCTTATTTTAGTTTCTTATAAGTTGTGTTGTATTGTAATTTAGTTTTAATCTTTCTTTATAAAATAATTTTCTTTCCTCCAAAATTTAAATTCATTATTTTGAGTCTATGTATTATTTTAAGCTAAATAAATAAGATTTATTTTATGAATAAGATAGTATATAAAAATAATAATCTTTAATTTCAGTGAAAAATTAAACAGTTAGAAAATAAATAAATAATTTTTTATAGGAACCAAAATTAAAATTCACTTATTTTATCACAATTTAAAATATATTTAAATCATTATTTTTTAAATAAGATTTTTTAGTCAAATATTATAATAATAATAATAATAATTATTATTATTATTATGTGTGCAATTAATATTTTTTTACAGAGAATTGTTTATTAGCTTAAATATTACTGTAATAAATACAGTAACATTACATAATTTTTAAATAAAATAACACATTTAATGTCTAGAAAAATATTTAATTATTTTATTCATTAAGTAAATAAGATTATTCATGGGAAATGCTGTAATTTTCAAAGTTACTTTTCAGAATTAATTATTAAAAAAAAAAGTTTGAGTAGAGATGCACATGGAATGGATTGGTTTAAATTTAAGGTGCCACTAAATTTCATTAATTAAAATTAAGGGTTAAATTAGTTAAATTTTACATTAATTGTCATTTGACATTAATTATTAATGAAATGTACGTAATAACACGAGCAACCCAATACTTGATAACAATATATAAGGTTATAAAATATTTAAAAAAAGTAGAAGAAAATAAAAATTCAAAAGTCTAAAATGTTTTTAATAAATTAAAATCAACAAATTTTCATAGAGGTAATCTATCATATTAAAATTAAAATTAATTATACGAGGATGTTGAACTAAAACAAATTTACGTTAATAATTCAATTAAATAATTTGAAAATGGAATCAAAAGAAGAAGAAAAAACTAACAAATTTGAGAACTGATTTTTAAAAAGATATTAATATAATCCAAAAAATGCATAATAATTTTTTTTATTTCGAATTTAATGGATATACATTATTATTGCAAATACTTTTACATTGTCGACTAATTAAAAATAAACTTTTTTACACAATTTGTGGTTAAACGATAATTTAAGGGGAAAAAAGAGTATATCTTTTGTCTCTTGTATTTAGCTACAACTTGAGGTGAAATATTTTTTTAGTAAATATTAAAATAAATAAAAACTAATAATAAGAAATGCTGAAAAAAAGTTTCTTATTTTATTAATAAGAAATGGTGAAATAATTTGACGTCGTCATTTAAGTAGAGTTTGATGGTAGATGGGGTTGATTATGGAGTGAGGTGTGGGTATGGAAATGACTGGAATCAGAAGATGCTTTATTTGACTTCGCCTCCCAACACCCTTGAATTGAATTTACCCACAAAACACATTCCCGTACGTTTCTAATGAAATGTCCACTCCATGCTTTTTTATTTGACATTTATTACTTCATTTTTACAAATCACTTTACACCTTCAATAATTCTACTAATCATCAACGCATCAGCCCACTTGTTAAATATAATTTAATTACTGTCACTTTAATAGTATTAATTTCTCCAGTGATAATTCAACTATCCATGGCTGTATGTTATGATATTGGAGTTTAAGAATAATTTTTATATATATTAATCTATTAATTGTTTTTAAGCCTTGTTGGTCTTTCTATTACCAGAACTATCCCTGTAAAGTTCACCACACACACATGTGTAATATTCTTTTGCAATATGCTGTGTGCACAATTCGAATTAAAAATTCCATTTTTTAGCCCTCGAATTTGAACTGAATTTAAAATTAAAAATGTAATATACTCCTTACACTTGTGGTTGGTGGATGGAGTTTGGTTAACGCTTATGATCTTAATTGGCCTGCTTCGCCGTCAACTTAAATAGTACCACTAACAGTCACACCATTTCAGTTTCTCTTTCATGGTTTCCAACAACTTTATGCCTTTTTCACCACCAAATCCTTAACTATACATCGCACTGTTTCCCTCTATCAACACAAGCACCCACCCTCCACCAAACTTTAACATGTTCCTATGTTGTCGCACACATCTTCTCAGCTATTTCATTTCATAAGTGGAGGATCTTGATCAGTAAGTCTGCGACCAATTATAACAAAAAAATTTATAATAATAAATAAAAATAAAATATTTATTTAAAATTGTGTCCTTCGTTCTTTTAAATGTTTGAACTCATCAATAATGAAATCGAACTAAAGTTTTCAACTATTTCTTTCTCAATATAAATGATCATATTATCTGCAAGAATTTCATCTTCCAGTCTATTTCGCAGTCTTATTTTGATAATCTTCATTGCAAAAAATGATCTCTCGATTGTAAGTTGTAGAAACAGGAAGAGTTAAAATAAGACTAATTAAACGATCTATTAAGTAAAATGTACCGACTTACCTGCTTTTGTCAAAGATTGACATAATTCAAGCATGGTAGACAAATTCTTCAAATCTGGATGGTTAGGAGCATCAAGTATAAAATGATGAAGTTGAAATTTTAAATTAATCTTCTCTTGTTCACTAAAATCCAAAGGATAAAATTTGTTCACAAGTGTGCATATATGATCAATGTTAAAATTTTTATAAACATCATTTGGAATTAAAGCATTGCTTAAATTTAAAAGTTCCATTGTTTTCTCACTAAACCTATCATTTAATTCTTGTAATTGTTTATCCACTGTAATAAAAAATATGTTCACCCTAAAATGATGTTCTACTGTAATACAATCTTTTTGATGTCGAGAACGACCATGACGTGCTACATAGGTAGAATTAAAATTAGGAATATCAATGTCATGTTGTTCACAAAACAATATTACATCTTTCAACAAATCTTGTCAACCTTCTTCTCTTAATTTTTGAATCAAAATTTTAGTCGAATAGACTAACTGCATAACATTATGTATATCCTGAGATTGTTTCTGTAGAGCTTGACAAAGACAATCAGTAATTCCCATAATTTCTTTCATCATGTGTAAAATCAATACAAACTCAAACTCAGACAAAATATTATAAGCAGCATCAACATCACCCCTTTGAGAATAAGTTGAACCATCAATTATAATTTTTTGGAGAACTAAACAAGATGCACTATACAATTTCATCATACTACAAATGGAATGAAAATGTGAACTCCAACAAGTATCACCAACTCGTTTTAAAGTGCCAATTTGATTTTTTCCTTTACCAGTTTCAAGTTCACCAAGTTCTAACAATTTTGCTATTTCATCTAATTCTCGCACTTTGTAATTCATCATGACGTTTACTAGATGAACAAACAACATTTATAATAAAAGCCAAATTTGAAAAAAATTGATGAACTGGAATAACTTCTCTTGAAGCAGCAACCAAAGCAAGTTGTAATCTATGAGCAAAATAATGTACATAATAAGCATAAGGATTATCATGAAGAAATAATGCTTGTAATCCATTCCATTCTCCTCTCATATTACTAGCACCATCATATCCTTGCCCACGAATATTGGAAACATCAAGATTATGTCTAGAGAGAACAACACATAATTCTCTTTTAAGAGTAGCAGCTGTAGTATCCTTAACATGCACAATATCAAAAAAACGCTCTTTAATATTACCCATTTTATCTACAAATATCAAAACAATAACCATTTGTTCTCTTCTAGATTCATCACGAGCTTCATTAACAATTATACAAAATTTTGAGTCACAAATTTCTTCACGAATATAATTTCTTACTTTTCTATAAAAAATTTGCAAAATTTCCTTTTGAATATGATGAGAAGTATATTTTGAATTATAAGGAGCATTTTCTAACACAACTTGTGCTACTTTATCATTGTATGATGCTAAAAGTTTAATCATCTCAAGAAAGTTACCTCTATTACTTGAATTTGGAGTTTCATCATGGCCTCTAAATGCACAAGCTTGAAATGCTAACCAACGAATTGTATCAATAGAAGTTTTAAGCTGTAAACGATTTTTGCAAACTTCTTCTGAATTTTGCACATTTATAATGTTGTCAATGTGCTTAGATTGATTCAATAAGTTTGTACATGCTTTTATTGCATTGTTATGTGGTGAACAAGGACTATCTCCAATATGACTAAGAAACGCACAATTCTTTCCTGAATTAACCTTTTTCCATGATCTAAATCCTTGTCTAATAAACGCATCTGCCCCAGGACGACCATTTGACAGTGTACTAAATAGATAACATGGCAAACAATATGCTTCATCACTAGTTGGAGAATACTCTAACCAAGAAGGAAACATTTTAAACCAACCATATTGAAATCTCCTAGGATGTATCTCTTTAGAAAAAGGATAGTTTTTAAGTTGTATTTGATATGGACCCCAATTTAAATAAGCTCTTCTAATTTCATCTCTTTGATTCAAATGATATTCATGTATCTCGAAGACGTTTTCCTGGGTCACGCTCCAAAGAATTAATATTAAATTCATTAGTTTTAATTCTATGAATCTTAGAAAGGGGTTCTTCTAATTGAATAATTGGATCATCAATATCATGCTTTGAAACAGGAGAAAATGTTGAATTTGTTTGGTTTTCATCTCTACAAGTATCTCTTTTATCACTTTTAAAAAATGAATCTATTCTTTTATGCTTCATATCTAGAGAAAAATGAATCTATTATTAATTTTCTAATTGTAGAATCATAAAAATTTATAAAAAACAAAAACAGTTTTCTCAAACAATAAATGTTCTTCAACAAAAATCAAAATAACAAACAATAATAGAATAAACAAGTGAAAAGATGAAGAAAAAGTACCTTTATCAATCAATATAATTTCAAGTATGGAATCTGAGAAGGGAGGATGAGAGACGAACAATGAACTTGAAAGTACAAACTACGTAAATAACTTAATATTAATCAATCAATATTACCGTTTGTGAGTGAATATGAAAAGGTGAGAGAAGATGAAAAAGTACTTTTAACATTTCTTATTTAATATATTCTTTAGAAATTAGAGAAGCAATTAAATACTAATAAAATATTACCGTTAATGAGAGAGTATGAAAAAGTGAGAAAAGATAGAAAGGTCAGATAATAAAATTATTTTTAATCTTTCTTATTTAATTTATTCCTTCAGCTTTTTTTCTTTATGATATATTTAATATTGGGGGGCCAAAATCATAAATATACAAGTAAGTTACAAAACTTTGGGAGGGCCATGACCCCCTTAATTACTATGAAGATCCGCCTCGATTCCATTGTCAACCTTCCTCTTAAACCCTAACTCTTAAATCATAAATCAGCTTACATTAACTTCTCCCACAAATATTTTATTTCATTATATTAAATCAAACTATACAATAAGAAGATGAGGGATGGATTAATATATCAAAATCAATAAATGAAATCCACAAGTATTATATATATATATATATATATATATATATATATATATATATATATATATATATATATATATATATATATATATATAAGAGTTACATTATTATCATCAATTATGTTTTATTAAATTATTTATTTTGAAATACTTTTTAGGTTATTCGATCCAAAATTTATATATTTTGGATGGATCACTTCATTTCATAATGCTTTGAAAAATTAGTGATTCTAAATTCGAAAATCTATTCACTTCAAATCGAATATTGTGTTCTTAAAAAAAAAAAAACAAAGGATGAGGGCGAGATAGAAATTATGGAGGTGCAATGAGGGTTTAACAGGCCCAAGACCACTGGACACTGAGTGGACGCCGCATTTGATAACAGCCTAACAGAACCGTGAAAAGCGAGTGTGAGGAAGTTGGCGCGAATTGAAGGAGCAAGCAGAGTTAGAAAGATGCAGAAGCAGAAGGAGGGAGAAGATAAAAACAGTGATGGAAACAAGAAGAGTTCCGTCGTCATAAGAATACCTTCTTATCAGGAAGTAGTTGAAAGTTCGCAGGCAAAATCGACTCCACCGTCTCTCTTCCTTCCTTCCCAAACCTTTTCCCAAGCTTTCGCCTCCGTCAAATCCTCCGACTTCTACGTTCCCCCTCCTCCTCCACCATCCAGGTATACACGCTTGTGATTTCTGCATCTTAATTTTTTACTCGTTATCACCATCACCGTTATAGATTCATCCGTTCCTCGGTGTTAATTGATTTTTTATTAGGGAAACTGCTCAATCGGACGCTCCATCTTCAACCTCGACACCATCTCCTGCTGCTGCTGCAGCAGCAGCTTCATCCAAATTACCGTCCTCTCAACCCTCTCAGAATCGCAATTCAATTCTTGTGAGCCACAGACAGGTACAATGATTTTTAAATTTGTTATCGTAAAAGTATGACAATCGCTATGATTTCAGCGCATTCTAATTAAATCCTTATATTCTTTTCTCTCGTGCATAATCTTTGGAGATTAACTGAATTTTCTTTTCCCTTTTTAGAAGGGAAACCCTTTGCTCAAATACATTAGGAATGTTAGATGGGCATTTGCCGATGTTGTGTGTGACTACGTGCTTGGCCAAAGCTCCTGTGCTCTCTATCTCAGGTTATTTTGGTTCTGCTCATTATGTTTCTCTGTTGAATTTAGAGGTTGTGCCGGACTGGACGTTCTGGAGTGAGTTTGTTGCAGAATTGCAGTCGTTAGTGTCAGCACGAATAAACAGTGCTTTTTATTAGTTTCATAAGTTGCTGGAAAAAAAATCTATTGTTGAAAATTCATATCAAATCGTCAATCAACACTGGATATCCTGATGCGTGCTCTGTCAGTAGCATCACTGTGGTGTTTGCGTATGATAGTTACATGTGATATCTGATGACTGGAAAAGATATTTTTGACTCAATTTAGAGGATTGACTATGTTATATAGTTTATCATTATGCTTGCGGAATCGCTTGTTTTTCTAGATTCCTTGTTTCCCGTGGATGATCACTTCAATATCTAACAAGTTGTTATTCTTCTACAAGTTGGGTTCAATATAGTTATATTTTTTGCATCAACTTGAATTGGGTGGATGGTTTAATGCAGTCTTCGCTATCATCTTCTGCATCCAGACTACTTGTATTATAGAATTAGGGAGTTGCAGAAGAACTTCAAGCTTCGTGTGGTTTTATGCCATGTTGATGTGGTCAGGCACTCATTCACACTTCTATAGCATCTATTTTGGTTTATGTTTTCCAATAATCTTCCTAGAAACTTATAATTATAATTAACTATACAGAGGAAGTGACATTTCTTTGTTGTTTTCTTGTTGATTGCAGGAAGATGTAATAAAGCCTCTGCTTGAAGTTACAAAAACCGCTTTGCTTCATGACTGTACGCTCCTATGTGGATGGAGGTGCAATTGACTTTACTTTTAACTGCTTGTGAAGTATGCATACTGAAGATATCATTTTTCTAACTCTTAGGAGCATGAAAGTGATGCTATTATCTACTACACTCTAGAGAACTTCTTATTAAACTGAGTAGAAAATTCATATGGCAATCAAATTTCTTGTTAAGGATGAAAGTTTGTGGTTGCAACTTGATGAAGAATGTTAATGTGAAGTGACTATCTATTTTGCAACTGTTCTTTCATGCGACTCAATTATAACATACATCTTGAAATGAGAAACGCTTGTTGTAGTTTCTTTTGGTTTAGCAGTATTTGTACCATTTAAAGGAGCTTGAGATTAATGTAGCATCAACATGCATGTGAATTTTTTAATATCTGTTGTAGCATCTGGCAAAATTTATCTTACCTATCTAATTGGTTTTTATATAATTCCATTGTACTATTGTTATAGTCTGGAGGAATGTGGCCGATACTTGGAGACCATAAAAGTCTATGAAAACAAGCCTGCAGACATTATTCAAGGCCAAATGGATACAGATTATCTATCACGGGTATGGTCGTGTTTCTTCTTTTTTGTTCATTAGATTATTATGGGTTTTATTTAATTCTTTCAAAAGCAAATTATAAAGGATGCAGTTCATAAATTGATTAAATTTTAAGCATGGCTACCAATTTTGCTGAAGCTATCTTATATTAAATTGTAGCTAACACATGCCCTTACTACAGTCCGGCATGTTAACAAGACTGATGTCGTCACCCTTGGTACCACATTTGGGGTATGTATGTTCTTTTTTATACATGTAGAGACACACATATTGACTGATTTAATTCACAAAAGCACTTTCATCAAGCTATACTCTCGTGTTTTCAGTCTCTTTCTAACATTATGGGTGCATCTATGGAAGATCTGGCTCGATGCCCTGGCATAGGAGAGCGCAAGGTATAATAATGTTACCAATGGTGAAACTGCAATGGGACAATGATTTACACTATCTTTTTTGTAGCATTGGTTGAATGATCTTGAGCCACAGCTCACTGATATACTAACCAAAAAGATCTGAATCTTCCTGATGACAGGTCAAGCGCTTGTTTGACACTTTTCATGAACCTTTCAGGCGTGTGGAATCAAGCCGGCAAACCATTCCAGAGACTTCTGTTCAGAACATGCCAACTAGTCCAGTCTCATTGATCAGGATCAATACTGAATCTTCCTCCTTGATTGAAGACAAGCAAGAGGACATAGAAGCTGTGAACAAACGTAGGAAGAAAGAACCCGAAGTTACTGTCAAATCTGCCCTCTCTGCAGCTTTTGCCAGATACTCTGATAGAGTTGGAAAGAGGAAAAACACTTCACAAGTGGAGGAAAAAGGAGACTCAAATGTTTTCAAAGAATCAGAAGCTGAAACATAAAATTACCATGAAGTTTTTCGGTGGTTCTTGAATAATTTACCTTGAACAACCCTATGATATTTAGAGGCTTCAATTGTTATGTCTATGCTTGTAAGGCCATGGAAACTCCATTGGGACTGTAAAGGGGAAACATTTGTAACAAATGAAGAGGTAGTAGTTGTAATATGATAGCTGAACTTGTAAGTAGTTAGGATGCTTTAATCAAATGGGAAGGAAGAGAAAAAATCTGATGGGTGGGTGGCAACAAGTGTGGGAAGATTGAAATTTAGGTTGTTGATATGATTTTACCCCACCTTCAGAGATATAATTTTCGATTGTTTAGATAAGCTTTGGCCATTAAAGAGATATTATCGCCATTATACATTATGTTTTACTCCTTTTCTTGATTCTGAAACCGCACTGGGATATTATCGCCTATTTTCTGAACCAGTGTCTACCAAAGTCCTCTTCTGTCTCTGGCATTATTGTTTGTCCCTGCCACCATTTTAGGGTAGTGTTGGTGTATGGGGTTGTTAAGGTTTAGAAGGGTAAACGTGGTGCAACTTACCGCATGGGACTCGGGAGCTTCAGCTTATTACCGTATACAATAATATTATAAAAATGACTACATAACTTTTACTTGGAAAATAATATATTAAATTATTAAGTTATAATCTACTTAGTAACCTATGATCTACCTCCTTGGCATTTTCTGTTCGTGTTATGGATATTGTACTTTTCTACATGATCAAGGCTAGTTAGAAAAGTGTTCTTATTGTTGTTTCTGGTGAAATTTTTGGTTTTGTTTCGATTTTTTAAAGACTAAGTTCTAATCAAATTTTAACCACCTTAATTTTTTTATTTATTTAGGTTAGTAAACAATTTTTCAATAAAAAATGTATGAAGCAAAAAAATTGAAAAATGTATTTAAAAAGTCTTTTTTTTGTATTTTTTATTAAGAGACTCGAGAACATGAAAATTAGCAGAAATAAATTTATGTGCAAACGAAATAACACGAAAGGCTATGTAAAATAAAAGACATGCAAACCCATATAAAACAACTAAATAAAGATAAATGCAGGAACGAAGAACACGAGCTTAACTTGCATGTAAATAAATTACCAGGAAAGTAAAAAAAAAAACGATAAAAGAAATCGAGGCGAAAAGTAATGCATAAGTTTAAATTGCACAATAGTAAATTACAAGGAATTGAAATAACTGAAAAGTACAGACAGGTAAATTTAAATTGCAAATAGATAAATTACCAGGGAAAGTAAAGAAAGCGGTAACAATAGTCGATAAAAGTGGAAATCCAGATTGCTAGAAACTCCATGATTCGTCGTTCTCTAGTAGACTTGTACAATAGATTTTTGATACCTCTGAAATTTCCTTTACTTTTTCACGCTTTGTTCTATTTATAGCATTCTTTAACATAACCACCTAAGAACGATTTAGAAACTGTTACCCCATGTTCCTATGCATGAAATAACTGCTCCTCTCGATTTCGACCCCAGGCATCGAGTACCTCAAACTGCTTCTGACCACTAAGAACGATTTAGAAACCGCTACCCCATGTTCCCATGCGCGAGATAACTGTTCCCTCAATCTCGACCTCAGCCATCGAATACTTTAAAATGTTTTTGACCACCTAAGAATGGTTTAGAAACAGCTACTCATGTTCCCATGTGCACGATAACTGTTTCCCTCGATCTCGATTCAAGACATCGAGTACTTTGAACTGTCTCTGACTTCCCTTAAACTTAACTTCACACTCGATACTTATTATCGATTTTTTACTCCTAATCATGTTCATCGAATTTTCTCTGTCCACTCTCGATTTATATCTCATATTTTGATTTATCTACTTTTCGATTCATATCTCGATTTTCCCCAACACATGTTCATCGAATTTCTTCTATCCATTTTCGATTCATTTCTCGATTTTTCCCGACACATGGTCATCGAATTTCTTCTATCCATTTTCGATTCATATCTCGATTTTTCCCAACACATGGTCATCAAATTTACTTCTACTTACTTTTCGATTCATATCTCAATTTTTTCCCACAAACAATTATTTAATGAAGAATGAAGAAATATCCGACAGATTGTTATAAAGGACTTTTAGTTCTCCATGTCTTAGTTACAAGTAGTCATACTCTACGACAGATTGTTATAATGGACTTTTAGTTCTTCCTTTGTTGTTCGGGTTGGTAACATTAATTTTCTCCATTCTGATGAACTATTGCAATCATTTTTCTGATCTTTTTATCATGAAATGTCCGTTGATATGACAAGCAAGGTTCCTTGTTCTACATGCTTCGTGGGGAATCTCTTGCATAAGCCCAAACAGGTCAGCATTATTCCATTATATCCTTCACGGCTGCATGTGATAATCTCCTTATAGTAAGAGTGAATTAGCTTTCAAAATGTTGTCTCCTATTGCACCTAATGCTAATGCCTAAATTTGAGCTCTTTGCCAATTTCCAGATAAGAAAGAAGCTAGATTCTGTCCACCTCCTCGTCAGTGTCGAAGAGGGGGAGTTCTATATTTAAGGTCGTTTTCCGTAGGCCAAAAGTGGTTCAGTCTGATTTGAGGTATGTCACTAAGTTTGTTTTCACGCGGTCAGTTACGGCATTTAAGCATTTACAGGAAACGAAACTCTTTGATGAGTGGATATTAAGTTTCATCATATTCCTCCTCTTATTTTTCTAACTTGTATCTTGGCAAGTTTGTCATGACAAAGGGCAATCTAAAAAATACATATATTAAAATGATAAGAACAAAATCCAGAACTAAAAAGTGTCCATGATTCCTTATTGTCTCTCTGTTTGCATTTTCTTCGTCCTCTCTTCTCCGCTATTGAAGGCAGTAGGGATGAGGGAATTCCACTGGTCTTTGCCAAGTCGGTGGTGCTCCCATCAAGTGTGATATTGCTCGTGTTTTGGGGACTAATGTTTGTCCTAGACTATTTTAGTCTAAGACGAATAATACAGAATGTCGAAGAAACATGATGCACATCTAATGACATGGACTTGGCGTTTGTTTCTGAAATCGTAGGGAGCTAGAACTAAGAGAGGATGGGTTCCTAACAAGCGGTATCAGTGATTGTACAACATCTGTCATGAGCGGCCTGTAATCAGCTTCTGGCTGTATGCACATTGCTGCAATGGCAGCTATCTGCAAATCCCATAGTCGCAGAAAGCAAATGTTAAGTGACAGTGATGAGAATGAGAGAATAACAACTACTAAACGAAACCATATTTGACCTGAATTAAATCCTTCTTTGAGTACTGTCCGCGTAGAGCTGGGTCAACCATTTCAATCACCTTTTCTCTGTTTGTCAACCTTGGAAGAGCCTGTTGAATACATAATATCGTATGTTACAAAAATAAAATTTGACAGTAATACAAACTTATTTCCCAACTAAGTTAGACATGGCCGTTTTTACGGCTTAACTTGGAAGGAACACTTAGCATTTTTTCTCCTTTTAACAAAAGTTATATAATCAATTTTGGTCTCTTTAAAATTGCAGGGTGCTATTTACTAACCCAAGAGACAAGGACGTGTTCTCCCTGGGCCCGCTTGATATCAACAGGCACGCGTCCCGTGAGTAGTTCTAGAAGAACCACACCATAGCTGTAAACATCAGACTTTGTGGTAAGCTTACCCGTGGCGTACCTACATCATGCCCAAATTCAAGGGACAAATTAAATTTATGCAATAATTTACGAAGCAAGTTATATTATATCATGAATGGAGTGCAGCATGAAATTTATATGTCATGTATCATAAAATTAAAAATCACAGCCTGCTTGATAAGGACTTGACTGTGACCATGTGCATGGTTTTTCTTATTAAAAAAATTTGAGTTATGTACTGGGATTGGGTGCTGAGTGAAGATAAGACAGGGTGCTTCCAAATGACAGATGAATTGGGGCACTCGTAATACTCACTCTGGTGCCAGGTATCCAGTGGTCCCCAACACACGGGTGGAAACCTGACCGTTCCTCTTCTCTGATCCCATCTTAGCCAATCCAAAATCAGACACCTTTGCACGGAAATTTTGATCCAATAGAACGTTGTTACTCTTGAAGTCTCTGTGGATCACAGGAGATACTGCATGTTCATGAAGGAATTCCAGTGCCCTGGCACAATCAAGGGCTATCCTCATCCGGGCCCACCAATCCAACGGTTGAGTTTGATCATTGGAGGAGTGAAGATGGTGGTGGAGTGTACCATTGGGCATGTATTCAAAAATCAATAACCTGTGGTGTTGGTCAGCACAATAGCCAAGTAACTCCACCAAAAATGGAGAGTGCAAGCGACTTAGGAGATCGACCTGCAATAAATGTCATTTAGTCTTCACACCCATGTGCGGGATTTGAATAAAGCTCACAATATGAGTTGGCAAGTGGGATGGACTGATTGAAAGGCAAAGGGATGTTCATTCCAATTTCATGGTCCCTAAATTCGGTTGCAAGACGCCAGAGATTTGAAAATAATAGTTGACAGGAATTGTCTTACTGTCTGTATTTTAACTACCTAGGAATATGTTTTATTAATATTTTGATTCAATAGTAGTTTATAATTCAAACGACTTAAATCTTGATAACTTATTTTAGTTTTAGGAGGATTTTGTTAATATTTGACATGCTTTCACAGTTCAAAAAATCTCCTAGGTTAGAAAATGCAGAGAAGTTAAAAATTTAGGATGTTAGATAGAGAAAACCTAAGAACGATTTATATCCCTAACAATACTGTTACCAGAGTCAAGTGTCAAGCCAGGAAGGCATAAAAAAACTTCCTCAGAATGATATTAAGGATGTCACGTGATAGGTTGTAAAATTCCTTTCACATTAATATACACATCTCTTCACGATTTATATTTTGTTAGGCAAGCCATACAAGTTTGAGCTTAACAAAAGACAAAACCAAAGTCTCTGAACAAACTGGATCTAATACAAGGAAAGGAAACATTGGCAGAGAGATAGTGCAAATAACAACAAGAAATAATTAAATCTTTGCGTACTGAAAAGAAGGGGATATATTAAATCATTAAATGAAGCACACTGACTCACCTCTATTCTGAAGGCACGCTCCCCTTGCTTACCCTCACTGCGAAGTAACTTAATTGCTGCCAAAGTGCCATCACTTAGAACTCCTCTATACATGAAGCCATGCCCTCCATTACTACCAATCACATTTCCTTCTCTGAATCCATCTGTGGCAATTTCTAACTCTCTGTATGTGAACACTTGGACTCCTCGAAATTTAGGTGCTGGGGTCCTGCTCAAATTTCCCCCGTGAAGACACCCACTCTTCACATCTATAATTAATGTCTCCAAGCATTTATGGATTAGCTTCTGAATTTTAAATCCTTACCCCTCAAATACTATTTGAATTGATATTAAGAAAACCAATGAATTAATGATAAACTAGAGACAAATTCATGTGATCATCTGCGGTCTGGAAAGTTAAACAGTTGCAATGCCTAGCATATTAACTCTTCTAAGTTTGCATATATTTATGGTATCTGCTTCACTAATTAGTATTTAAGATACATTTGCAACTAATTGATAGCATATGATGTGGCAACTAGTTACCTGGGCTAGAATTCAAAGTTGATGAAGTAATGAGCCTGCTGCTTGTGTCATGAAGCTCTCTGCTGTCTTCTTCGCAAGTTCCATTCTTGCTGGAGGATTTTTGACGACGGATCAAGAATAGGACCACAAAAATGACAAATAGGACCGTAAGTAAGGTGATCAGTGAGATGGTTATGAGAATGGTTTTGGGGGGGAAATGGCCATGGCTATGGCTATGTCTTTCTGAATGTAAGCGGTGCTGTGTGAAAGAGTGGTTCTTAGTCGGTGGCCTTGCAGATACAGTGGTTGTAGTATTAACTTCCATGACTGACAACAGAGAGAAAAAGGAGAGGAAATTTAACTGGATTTGTGTTTGAGATGAGAAAGAAGTTTGGGATTGGAAGGCAGGAAGTAAAAGAGGATTGGGGAGAGTGGCAAATGCCGAAATGGTTATTGTTTATAGTAATAAACAAAACAATGAGGGGTGCAAGTATTTTGCTAGTTTTAAGCCTCCTTTCCTCGGAGGGCAAGCCACCCTCTCGTGAATATTTAATTAAGTGGTTTTGGTGTACTTCATTCGTCTTTTCTTTTGCTATTTTCTAAAGAATTGTCCTTTTCTTTGTATAAGAAAATCTTAGAAGCTTTTGCACAATCTTTTACTCACGCTTTCTCTACAATAATTCCCTAATTATAGATTATCTGCATTCTGTTTTACTAAAATAAAATGTATTTGTAGAATATCTTTTTCTTAGTCTTCTTTGGAAAAAGAAAACAAAAAAGATAATTATGCTTTTGGCTTTCTGATCAGTCAATTTATATCTGCCATTGCTGCAGGGAGTGGTCACTGGTCAACCAGTTTCACCACTCGTAAGAGTGGAGCAAAGGGGTGAGTTAGTCAGATGACTTTGCCATCTAACTAATTACCATTCTCACCAGTCACTGCCAATAACAATAATTCAATTGCCACCTGCATTACTCAAAATCGCATAATTCAATAACAACCAGTTCCTGGTTCAGTAAACCATTTCCATTATGCATCATTTTATATGGTTTAGTTATTTCATTTGCCTTGAATGCTAGCTGAAGAAGGTGACAAAATGACAAACAAACTTGCTTTTAGGTACTGTATTTAGATAATCTAAATGAGTAGCTGAAATGTGCTATTTTACTGGTAATTTAACCAATAAAACATTGTATCATAGAGGACCTGATTTTATACATTTTCTGCTTATTATTTCTTTCTTTTTTTCATTCTGTTTCCTCATTTAACAAGGTGTTGGAGTGAAATGGCTAGAATTTGTTCATGTTAAAACATTTTGAAAAAAGTAATTTGTAAGTATTTGGATAAAGTTATTTAACTACTGCGTGTATGTATACACATGAATGTATGAGTGTTTTGTCGCTATTGTTTAGGCAGAGAGTGATAATTAGTGAGCATTTAGTAAGTGGGGGTGGGAAGAGTCCCACATCTCTGACTGTTACGGAAGATTGCCAATCATACGGCTCGCAATCATATGCCTTTGTGTCGTCCAAAAAGTTAACTCGTCAAAACACCACAACAGGAAATATTCTCTCAAACCTAAACTCATTTGCTAATGCTCTCTACCTTCCTACCCATCGCTGCCACAACAGATTCACCAAATAACATTTCCTACAGACTCCATTATCCAATTGGGTATTCCTCACCTTACCACTTTCCCTCTTACCACAATATTACCATTATTTACCCTTCCACGTCAATTCAATAAATACCACTACATCAAACTACACTAAAGCAAATTAAGATCATATTTGTCAAAACTTTTCAACTAACTTCTCCATGAAAACTTGTAGAAAAAAAAATTCCTATAAGTTTAAGTTAACATATTCACAACTTAATTTGTAAAAGTTCTCTTATAACTATCCTAAACTTGTGTTTTTAATATTTGTGTAAATCAATTTAATTTGAGGAAAAGTTTCTTTTGGGTCTAAATAGACCCATATGGGTATCATTGGATGGCTATAAGGTTTTTAAAATGCGAAGTTCACAGAAGAAGATAAATTGTATTTCTAGTTTCTCACACGTATCCTTTTTCAAGGTAATCAATCCTGTTCAAAGCATAATTGAATACTAAATGAATGTATTTTTATTATATGGATCAATTTACTGAGAAAAGGGCTTTTACCCCCACTTCAATTATATCCTGATCAGGGTGGAGAAGTGTGGTTAATTGAGTGTGCGAATAGAAGCCCATATAAATGGGTCCGTAATCTTTCTGGCCCAGTTGAAGAACCAGTAAGACCCATTTTTGGTCTCATTGTCACTCCTTTTTGTTCTAGGTGGCCGTTTATTTTATTTTATTGTTCAAATTTGAAATTTGTTGCGGGGACCAGATAAACTGAATACAAGTATGTTGTCATCTGATCAAAGTTTTACTTTTTTGACCGAAAGTACAGAGAAAGTTAAAGTTTCACTTTAAAAATCACATGTGGAACAAACATCAAAAGTATATTAAATGAACTAATAATTATTAAATAATATATAAAAAATTGACGCTTGAAACTATAACTTTAATATACTTGTAAATATTTTAAAATATTTTTAAATACTTGTAAATATATAGTTATAACCGGAGATAAATATTTTTTATTTCTATATTTTTCAAATCTATTTTTTATTTTTATTCTTTTAAACTAATTAATTCAATCCATTAACTTTTATAAATTTATAATCTATTTGATTTTAATATTTTTATATTTAAATTTAATATTTAATAGAAATTTTTTTATCTTCAGATAGTTAATAAAAATATTGAATTTATATATTTTTTAAAAGTTAGTATCAAAATGAGATTTTAGAAAAACAGGGACAAAGGTATATTTAACTCTTATAACTGTGATTAAAAATATTAAACATCCATTAAATTTTAAAAAATAAAAGTTTCTTTTAAAATAATAAGTCAGTAAATAACAAGAAAAAATATTTAATTTGAAATAAATTAAGAGGTGAAAAAAAAATCAAATTTAATAATATATTTGATGTACTTGAATATTTTGTATTGGCTTGGATGTCCTCGTTGTTGAAGGGGTCATGATCACGATGATGTCGATATCCATTCAATAAGACAAGATAAGACATTTAGCAGTGAAATTGGTTTACCTCTTCCTGGTAACTTCCCTATATTCATTAGGAAAACCAAGGAATGCTTGACCATGACGTAGCATCAGCTTTGGAATGTAAGCAAAAGAAGTGAATTTGTATCCATACCCCCCTCATCTGCTACACTATGATTGAGTGTTTGAGGGAGCAAAACACACATTTTTTTTTCTATCTCTATATTCTGCAGGTAAAGTTTGATGATTCCTCATCAAACCTTCATTTACAATCACATCTGATTAAAAAGGTTTAACCTAGCTGGCTCCAGTGTCTCAAATATTCTGCCAGATCCTCCATAGACTCAAAGCATTTACATTCTCTTGCAAATATGATGTAAGGAAATTTATTTTGCCCCAGATTTAAAATATATCCCATAACTCTGAAACTAACCTAGCAGAGATAAGACTGAATGATGTTTTAGCAGTTGAAGATATTGGATAATGTATACCAATCATTTTCCTTTCATTTATATATTGTAAAATCTTCCTAAGTTCATCACCTCCAACACTAGTGATAATATATTATTTGTCACTCTCTAAACACATGCACCCTGCTACATCGAACCATAGATTTTCTCACCAAGTTTGTTGTAAAGGAAAAGGACATGAAAGATCATTGGCATGACAGCTATTATTCGTGAATTGGAGAGTACATATAGGGCAGTGAGATGCAAGATTTTAGATAGATTACCCTTTTACAAGTGAGATGCATGCAAAAGAGACAAGATGCAAAGTTCAGACCTGCCCATGATTGATCACAAGTTGACAACAAAAGCTCATAAAAGATGGTCTACAATGCTACATAAAAACAATCTCAACAAATGAAACCTTTAGAAATATCCCAATATATAGTAAAATAGCAAAATTGTTAATCCTATATTTTTTATAATAAGGTTTCACACTAGAAAAGTTTATCAGCAATTTTCTCCATATATATATATAGATAGATAGGAAACTCTTAACAGAGTTTACTTTCCATAAACAACACTCTTTGTTTCTTACTTCATTCAGAAAATCGTTAGGCAATATAACAATTAATTTTTCATAGTCCATGACTAATAGATATCATAAGCAACAAATACAAGGAAAGAAAGTGTAACTTTTTTAAAAATAAATAATATACTAATTACTGATATCTGTTAAAGAATGGATATTTTTAATAAAAATTTAAATCCTTATTTTTTTTTCATTACAAACTTCTAATTCAATACTTAAAAAAATCAACAAAAAGTTTCTAAAAGAGAGTAAATATACCACAACAAAATTTATTATATTAATGCATATAACACCTTAACTAAAAACAAGTCTATGGGCTCGTTCATGGCCCAACAACCAGATATTTATAGAACATTCTTTACTTTAGTAAAAGTTTTTATAACTAAAAATTGTTATAAGAGGTTTGAGAATCAAATTTTTGGAAGTGATCTCTTCATAAAATTTAGGTGATATTCATTTTGTGTTGTTAGAGATGCAATGGATCATCATAACTATTTGAAAGCCCAATGTGAAATGGATTACAACAACTTGAAATCCTTTCAAGAATTGTTATATTTTATCTTACTCTTTTAAATCACATATACTCAAAGAACCATTATAGACCACAAACTTCTTGTTCCAAATGTGACATAAATGGTTTAACTCGTTTGGAAAATAGAACTAATGAGACAAAGCAGTGAAACTGCTAAGTCTTGAAAACACCTTGGTGGGAGCATAGGACCCACCATCCATTTGAATAATGAGAAGGTGGGTACAAATTTTTGTTCTTGGAATTTGCTGTTCCCACAAAAACATTAAAACAAGTTGTCCCTACCTGCAAATCACTTATGTTACCAAGTGAATCATCTGTGAGATCTTGCAAATACTTTCTTTATGGGACACAGAAATTAATCTTTATGATAACCAATGCAAATGAAAGACTATTGGGAGGGTGAAACTAATAAAAGAAATAGATCCTTCGTTGACACAATAAAAGACAAATTAATGTGACAAAAATGTAAAAACCGATTTTAATGGATATAGAAGGTTGTCGTGTTGAAATTTGGACATGGTTAATTAAGGGCTCATACTCAGATTCCAACGAATTTAACAATAGAATTTTGGTTCATCCAGTCTTACATAACTACACTTTGTGTTTTGAACATGCTGTGCTAACTTAGTGTCATGGTCAAAGAAACAAACCTTACCAAGCAT